AAATTTCCCCATTCTTGCACAAATTCAATTTTTCCTTGCAAAGTTATAATTATCACGCGAAGATATACACTTTCATAGATTAGTTGGATCACTTCAAAATTCAAAGGAATCATCTCAGCATCAAAATAACACTGCTCACAACACAACTGACTGAAAATATTGCTAGACACAACCTATTACCTGTGGGATATTCCTACACGGCATTGATAAAACGGCAGCTGGTGTGGAGACTTTTAACGGTGGTTGTGTACTCATATCTGAAGAATTTGCACTGTCACCGTGTGAAATAATACTAGCTCTACGTTGATTAAACAGTGCAGCGTGCTTTTGTTGGTGTTGCAGATCAGATGCGTTGTGAACACATACTGAAGACTGACTGTGATGAATTGCAAAAATGTGTTTTGTTGGTGCTGTGGCAGTGCTGTCAGATGGCATTCTATCTAGTGAGACTGTAGACGGTAATTTTGGCATTCTGATAGGATCGAGAACCATACTGGTCACGGATCCTGATGGTGATAAGTCCGGCAGTTGATCAACACTCTCTGTCACTCCGTCTACCGTCAAATCATCCTCCAAATCATCTTCTGGTTCGTCGTCTTGCTCAACGATTATTGACGGGTGATTATTATTATTATTATTGCTGCTAGTGTTGCTCGTAAGATTTGATTGTTGCTGCTGTGAGAACGCTGATTCCGTCTGCTCAATTCTGCAAACAAATTACAGGAATAATGACATGCTTATGAAAATTTTCGAGTTCGCATTCAAAAATGGATAAACGCGCAGACCTGTGATCATATCGTCCACCCTAATTTTGCTTTAAATATAACTCTCCTGCGGTTCCTCCTCCCGAATGGGTTTCCCAACCCTCACTTGGATGGTACCCGGTCAATGTGTCTAAAGACATTTAGCTTAACGACAGTTCGCCTAAAGACACATTGCCTAACGGACAGTTTGCCTAATGGACATTTTGCCTAACGAAAAGTTTGCCGAAAGAACAGTTTGCCTATTAGGCGATATATCCATTAAGAAACCGCAAGTTAGGCAAACTGTCCGTTAGGTAAACTGTCCGTTGGACAAACTGTCCGTTCAGCAAATTGTCCGTTATGCAGTGTGTCTTTAGGCAAACTGTCGTTAGGCTAAATGTTTTTAGGCAGA